TGTGCATTACATGTACAGTCTATTCTATCTCATTTTCTAATTGTTTAAACAGTGTGATGCTAATAGAAAAGATGTTCCAACCCAACGCTGAAATGATGGACAATATAAAAGAGGAATGGAATTCACCATTTCCCTAGAAAGACGGGTAGCTCATTCTTAAATAATCAAATTGCTTAATTGATTGGTAACTTTCTCATCTTTCTAGCATAAAGTCTATAAACTGTCTTGTAATTACACAACTCTTTACATTCCTCCTTTCTATTAAAATAGAGGAAGTTAATCCTTCTCCTACCAAAGACAAATCAATACTTGTATGTCAGTCTAGAGCATATTACTTAAGTCTGTCTTAATGACTTCATTGATTTGGTCCTCCCCTTGAGTTTCTCCTGAAACAGCAGTCATTTCCCTCATAATTGGATTATGCCTATCTTTGCATAATACCTCCTAAACCTCCTATCTTTCAAACAGATTTAAAATAGAGATAAACAAATTTTTAAAATTACAAAACACAACAAAATGTTCATCCCTTGATCTATATTCCCATCCAACATATCTCTTTTTTCTGTTTCCCCTCACTGTAATTAATATAATTTTTTTACTGATACACGTTATATCCCTTCCTCAATTTTCATCTGTTCTTCTACTCATCGTGAAATGCTGTTTATTTCCGCAGTCCCACAATATTGCCATGATGAAAATCACAAATTTTTCCTTTGATGAATATCTAGCAGACTCCTTTCTTGGATCCTCTTGCTTTTCATCCTACTACTTCACTATTTATACATTTTCACTCTAAATTTTTAATTAAATGTTGGCATTATTCCTTCTTTGTTCATTCTCTAGGTGGTCTTATTTGTTCTTATTATTTTATGCATGATCTGAATACACAAAACCCCTGCAGTAACATCTCAGCCCAGACTTTTCCTCTGGGATCCAGACCTGTGTATCCAAACACCTACTTGATACCTCCTCTTGCAAGACTCCGAGGCATCCAAATAAACGTGTCTGAAGTGGAATTGTTAATTTATCTCCACCTTGTCAGCCAGATCTTATTTTCTTTCAGTTTTTTTTTTTTTTTTTTTTTTTTTTTTTTTGCGGTGCGCGGGCCTCTCACTATTGGGGCCCCTCCCGTTGCGGAGCACAGGCTCCGAACGCGCAGGCTCAGTGGCCATGGCTCATGGGCTCAGCCGCTCTGCGGCATGTGGGATCTTCCCGGACCGGGGCACGAACCCGTGTCCCCTGAATGGGCAGGCGGACTCTCAACCACTGCACCACCAGGGAAGCCCTCAGTTTTTTTTTTTTAAACCATCAATAAATGGAGCCACTATTCACCCAGGCAGTCAATCCAAAAACAAAACAAAGCAAAAATGACAATAGAACTCCCTTCTCCCCCCAAAAAATCCCCTAGAAGTCATCGCCGATTTCTTCTTTTCTTTCATCACTTATATTCCATCCATTAACAAATCCTGGTGGTGCTATCTATAAAACAATTCTCAGTATATCCATCTCGTTCTGTCTCTACTGCCACCATCCTTGTCCTAATCATCAACATCTCTTGCCTGTCAGTTGTAATAGGCTCTTAATTGTTTTTCTACTATCACTGTTGCTCTTCTATAATTTGTTTTCTGCTGAGAAATCAGAGTGGTCTTTAAAATTCTTAATCATGTCATTTTACTTCCCTGCTTCAAATCCTTCAATGGTTTTTCACTGCACTGTGAATATAAATAAAATCCTTTATCAAGGCCTCTAAGAACTACACGACTCTCCCCTTCTGTCAATAAACTATGGTGATATTGGCCCTCTGCCATTTCCTAGAATAACAAATCACATATTTTTTTCACACACCAAAGCTTCAACATGCGCTTTCCTTATACCTGGAAAACAATTCTGTCAGCCCTTCACTGGACTGCCTCTTTCCCATACTTCTCATCTCAGCTAACATATCACCTCATCAGATTTTCCCTAACTGCCATATTTAAAGTGCCCCACCCAAGTTATTTTCTCTAATAGCACCCTATTTGTTTCCTTCATTGCTTATCACAATCTGCAATTTATTTCTCTAACTGTTTGGCTATGCACATATTCTCCCAACTAGAATGTAGACTTTAGAAGGGCAGTGGAGAGGTTTACTCATGGTTGCTCCCCCAGAGCCCAGCCCACTGCTTGTTACATGGTAGGTGTCACTGTATGTTGGCTGAATGGAAGAATGGAAACTCAAATTTAACTACCAAGACTAACATTAAAAAAGCAACCCTGGGGCTTCCCTGGTGGCGCAGTGGTTGAGAGTCCGCCTGCCAATGCAGGGGACACGGGTTCGTGCCCCGGTCCGGGAAGATCCCACATGCCGAGGAGCGGCTGGACCCGTGAGCTATGGCCGCTAAGCCTGCGCGTCCGGAGCCTGTGTTCCGCAGCGGGAGAGGCCACAACAGTGAGAGGCCCGCGTACCGGAAAAAAAAAACAAACAAAAAAAACCCAAGCAACCCTGGCAGAATGATGAGATTTAAACAGACATATTTTTGGAGGGATTTTAAATTACATTTTTTAAGGAAATATTTTTAGTACCAAACTAGGCAAAGTAGTCTAGTAAAATGATATGCAACTGCTGTTCCACATGTCTTGGGAACTGAGGGAGGTCTTTGGAGGTCACAACACAACAAATAAACATCAGAAATGGTTGATGGCTTATGGCAAACAAGGTTGCTAAATAACACATTCTTAATTTTTTTTTTTTTGCGGTACGCAGGCCTCTCACTGTTGTGGCCTCTCCCACTGCAGAGCACAGCTTCCGGACGCGCAGGCTCAGCGGCCATGGCCCACGGGCCCAGCCGCTTCGCGGCATGCGGGATCCTCCTGGACCGGGGCACGAACCCGCGTCCCCCACACCGGCAGGCAGACTCCCAACCACTGCGCCACCAGGGAAGCCCCGCATTCTTTATTTTCAATGTGTTTTCAAAGTAACCATTTAGTCCAACTGATACTGTCTCTTAAAAACATGATTTAGTAAAGTACTCAGGTGTTTGTACGGCGACCACACCATTCAACAAGGTGCCCTGAATTCAGAAGAAATAGCATATGATATGTTATACTTGAGGGGGAATTGAAAAACTTTTCCTTATTGTGAGGAGCACAGTGTTAGTGGTAGAGCTTTCCCTTCTCCTCTATGGATTAGGTATGACTAAAGAGTTCCTTTCTTCCTTCACCCAAGTCATATAAGGGAACTAAATGAATGGAGAGACTGGCATTTCACTCCTGACTGGACACTTGCTGAGCAGCAAAATCAGCAGATTACCCTGGTGCTCCCATTGGAACATAGCAGAATATGGTGAGTGAGTCTATGGGAAAGCCTCAAGTGTGGGGAAAAACATGACCTTAGTAAAATGGGGACCACCTCTAGTCTAGAGAATCCTGAAGGTGGGCTGGGGTTTATTGAACAGCTTGTTCCAGCAAAATTGATAGGTCCAGTGATGCAGTGACCCTGGGAGGGAGTGGTCTTTGGAGACAACTGGACAAGACTTCAGTGGTTTCAAAACTCTACAGAGCATGGAATATAGACTAGAAAAAAGTGATCTGTGACACAAGCAATATGGCAGATCAGCAAGGAGATGTACCACTGGAAAAGGCAGCTGGGGACCTCACAGGGTGAGAGAGAGAAAGATTTCCCTCTTCAAAAGGGCCTTGTATAACAGACGCGGTAAAAGGTGAAGTTCAGAACACTTTTAAGAAAACAGTGAAACCATGTACAGAAGCCTATCATATAAATGGAGGCCACTAGTAGCAAGTGGAACCACACTGAGCCAACAACAGTCAGACATCATAAAATATATCAGATAAGACCTGCTGTTTCTCTAGCCCTCTTATTTGACCCCATACACTGTAGAAGTGGCAACCCAGAGAACCCTGACCTTCCCCATTCCAAGAGCTTCTATCAGC